GTTCGGAGACCCCGGCCACGCATGTAAGCCATACGTCTCCGATTCCGGAGTCCCCGGCAGGAAGTGGTTAATAGAAGCATCGTGAAAGTTACTTTCCATCTCCAAGCTAAGTATTCTTTGCATCAAGTTCCTTCATCCAGACATTTGACAACAAACAACAGTTTCTCCACATTTTTTTCTTCCTCCAGGATCCAGCTCAGAGGCAGAAAGTTCCCCCGGTGGACATCCTGTGGATAAAGGGTAGGAAGGGCGGAGACTACTACTACTCGTTTGGGGGGTGTCATCGCTACGCGGCTTACACAAGGCTTAGAATGGAGACCATCCCCTGTAAGATTGTTCGCTCCACTGTGTCCGACCTGAGGAACTACCTTGGATCATCAACTCCAGATTTACTTTGAGAAAGTTTTACTAGGAATCAAATCGAGGGTTATTGTTGAAGTTTATCTGAAGTCACCTGCATCATGTACATGAAGTTATACCTGAAAATAATCTTGTAAGTGGCAAACTAGATAATGTTATGCATCTCCACTGCATAATACGACAAGGTTTTAAGGAAACTAATGAAATGCAAGTCTTAATGTAAGTGATGATCCACATGGGATGTACTCCTCTGAAATTCATCATGGATTATGAAGTGTGTAAAGGAAGTAGTTGCCTTAATCTTGGAAAAGCAAGATGGGCCTTGCTGTACATAGCAATGTTGCCATGGATTGTCCTGTCTCGGAGCATCATCTTTATTAGTAGGACTTTAAACCTACCAAAAAGTGTCAATCTGATGAAGAAAGACTGATTTTTGAGTGCAAAACTTCAACTTTTCTCTGAAAATTAGATTTATCGGTCACGGCCAACAGACTGTGCCACGAGGTCCAAGGCAGTGGCTAGATAGGAAGATTTCCTGCAATAAGGATCCCGCGGAGCTTAACCACTTCATGCCGGAGCATTTTTCAATGTTGATGATGCTGGGCGGGCATGACTATCATTTTTTCCGTTTTCAAAATCCTTCAAAANGTGCGGTGTTGTATAACTGCCTTTTGTTCACGAACCTGGCTTAGTGCACTGCTGACCTCTTTTCAATAGGGGCCAGATTAGCGTGCAGCCATGCTGTGTGGCTCATTGCTGCCGTGGTGGAGTGCTTTTGTCCCCGGTGGTAATCTGCTCGCTCTTAATGCCCCAAACCCTGGTATATGGTCAAAACAAGGCTGGATTATCACCATTTTTGAGAGTGAAAAATGTCGGTGATGCCCAGCAGCCTGGTCTTTTGTTTGGAGTACGGTCTTTTGTTAGAGGGCCCTGTCTCCTTAGTCCGAGTTCGGAGACCCCGGCCACCCATATAATCTTTGATCCCCGAGTCTCCGGCAGGAAGTGGTTAAAGCTTGCTCGAAGAGAGTCCAAAGTCATTTTTGCCAAGAAATAATAAAAAATTAAGAGCGGTTTCCTACATCCCATATTGGCTTTCTTGTTTGGCGCAGAAGTTGGAGCAGCTAGAAGGTCTGGCCAAGTTGATACAACTTCAGCGCCCTGTACAATGGCAGCCAGATACGAGAAACCCCATCTCATCTATAATGGGACAAACCTTGATTTTTTAAGCATGCCTTTAACTGAACCAACGGCTGCAAATACCCCGGCAAATTTTGCCCCTTAACATTGAAGGCGTGCAGACAAGTGAAATCCAGGTGACCAATTGTGGCATTGTTTGCTTTTTAGCAGTAAGAACAATGTCATTTGGCCACCTGTCCATTTAAAATAAAATTTCAGCAGGCAGTTTCCAGTTGTTCAAAATTCACAAGCCACCATCCCCCTTTTCACTACTAGTGAAGTGTTGGCATTCCTTCCCCCCAAAATGGTTGCAGTTGCATTTCAATTCTTTGGAAATCCCTGGGTTTGAAACTGTACTTGGACAGATATTTTCCTGAGGATTGCATGAAATTTGGTGGAATAAGGGGTGAAACATTGACAAGGCTTTAAGCGTAAATAACTAAACTTTCCAGACAAGATCTTCAAGTTTCTTTTCTATTAAGAATCTTGCAAACACCAAATTGGGTAAAATTCTTTAACACATGAGATTAAAATGCTACACACATATTCCAGCATTCAAAATACCAAAATATGTAAAACATGATTAGGAACAATGCATATCGAAATGAAATCAGCCGCACATATATCAAGTCGTAAAGATGAAAAGTTGTCACATTTCCATAAACTGCTGATACAAAATGCAGTAACTGTTCCACTTTGAAATTGATCTCAATCTTTCGCTTGAAAAAAGCGGCCATATTTAAGTTTCAGTTCGATGTCAGTTTTGAATATTTGACCTGCTCTGAACTACACTGTCATGAACTAATAAAAACTTCCCCTTTATTTAACTTTAGAAAGCTCATCAAAAATGGAAAAGTTGCCCCATCTGAGCTAAATGCGGAACAAGCTGTTACAAACTACGCATACAAAATTATATACAGACATTATCACAGAGCAATTTATGTCTTGAGCTTTAAACAAATGTATACATCAAAATCGTTAAAAAATATAGTTTGTGAACTTAAAAACTGTTAAATATCAGTTAGACCAATTTTCTAAAAACAGATTACGTGGACATTTTTTTAAAATCTAGCCTAATGTATTACAAAATGTAACAAGTAAAGGGTTAAAAAAAGTGCCGAGAATTAAGAGACATTTGGGTATGTTCTTCAAGACTTCCAAGCAACAGGTTGAGCGTGTACCCATTAATAATTAACACACTGGTGGGTGGAGAATGCCACCAAGATTACTTTTCTTTTTCCCCCGTGGGAACAGACATGCTCAATATCACCAGCAGGGAGAATTCTACGAAGATTTTGTGTCTAAGGATTGTGCCTCTTGGCAGGGAAAAGATGTCAAGTTCTGACAGCAGCAAGTGGACTTTTCTCTCTTCACTCCTTCCCTTCCGGGCATTGGTCGGGCTACTGTTGGAAGACTCGGTAGTCAGCAGAAAAGCCAGTGCCGGCATTGGTCGCACTCGTCGTGAAGGTGACGACGATGGAAGTATCACCAGTCTGGCTGTACCAGGAGAAAGGTATTCCAAGGGAGTTGGAGCAGATCTGGAGAACATTCGCTGTCCCGGATTGGAACTATCAGTCAAACAAACGAAAATGTTAAAAACAGATCAGTCCACTCTTATCATCACTTCTCAAATTTGATTGATGAGACCGATGATAGTTGCAACCCGCTTGGTCAAATTGAGCCATAAGGCCATTTCAGTAGATTTTGTGTCAGTTTCCATAGGGCAAGTCACATTGTTTATATGAGATCTCGGTCTGGCATCCTGTTGGAAGTAGAAATCATGTGGGTGGTTAATGTGGAGAGTCGCTGTTGGTTTGACACTGTGCAAGATTCTATTAAAGGCCTGTCACTCAAAGGCTCTGGTGACAACTTGCTTTCAAGGTGCCGACACAATACAGGCGATTCACAATACAGTGCGCCACAAAGAGTTAACAATCAACACACTGCCATGATTGAGCACACTTTTGTACACAAGGGCCAGTGACCATTTAGACCCGACTTTTGAAAAGGACCCCTGGTAGCCCGCCCTGTATAATGCCTGCCCGGTATTCAGGCTACTCAAGGCCAGTACCAGGCCTGTCTGCACTGCGTCGGCATTTCAAAGTCCCTGAACGAAGGCTTCCCCCACCATGCTTCCACCGATGAATAGGGGTCTGAGCGAATTAGTGTAAACATTGTACAGCGCTAAAGGATTAAAAACTACAGGCAGGTTCCTTCTGGGATAGATTACATGTACCAGTACTTGCAAACAATAGACCCCAGGATGGAGAAGTTTGAGATCAACAACCAGTCCAGCATCCCAGGCCAGTATGAAAGGGGTTTTTGCAACAGGGCGAGCTTACCGGGGGGCCTTTTCAAACCGGGTATAAATGGTCGCCAGGTCTAAATGGTCGCCGGCCCTAACTTCGGGAATGTTTAATGGACAGAGTCGTTCCCTTTACTACATGAAATCATCATTTTGACTACACTCATTCACAATGAGCAATTTTAAATTTTTAACCAAGATAAACAAGCAGAAAAATGAAGTTTCCGGGGCACAGCACAGTTGAAGAATGAGACTTTGTTGACTATACCATAATGCACTACAAAAAGGCCTCGCCATGACAAACTCTTGGTGGCGCACTGCACTGTGAATTGCCACCTGTATTTACAAAGCATGCAAATCAACCAGTATTAATAAAGCACTAAAATGTGCTTCATCATTACCCCCTCCTCAGTGATCTATGACCATCTCTGCTCCCTGGGGAGCAATAAACCTTAATGCTGCCCTTTCAAGCTCCAAGCTTTGAGGGTTCTTGAGGGGCCCTCTACAACTCCCAACCTATGATCTTGCTCCTTTGCAGAGGAGCTGACACCATCTCACTGCATTTCACAAAAACTCGGGCCTGCATCACTTAGTTTCACTTCAAAAGCCTGTGTTCAAACAGTGAATGGCAAGTGGCGTGACGGGGCAATGAATTTCCATCTAGAAGTTTTTCAAAGAAAGTGGGCATTTAGCCTACAGGTGTTCTCGTTAGGTGCAATGTCACTAACAGATAGGCACGGTACAATTCTTTCACATCGACCGTTTTTCATTCTACCTACGTGGGCGCCATCTTTACCAAAGAGTTACCAACACAAGTCTTTCTGGCTTGTTTGTACGAATACAAATGTAAACATGGGACATGACTTTTTGTTACCGCTCCTCTGTCTAAAAACTGGGTTCCAAGGGGGGAAGGGAAAAGTGTGTCAACCAAAGTGTTGGAAGATGCCGTACGTACCATCAGGCTGTCTCCATCAGAGCAGGGGGTCTCAAACACTATGTCCAGAGTGTTGACGACGATCTCGAGGGTGGAGCCTGCAGGAATGCTGAGAAGCAGCTGCCCGTTGAAGCTGTTGGGGTACTGGCTGGGGTAATTAGGGCTGCGAATGGTGCCGCTGTCATCCAAATTCAGACTGTACGACTGGGCGGGCTCAGAAACATCTGACACATAGACGAGAAATAAAAGGACCATTGTGAGCGTAGAGGGTTGGTTAATTGAGGGGAATGTGCAGACTGGAGAGGGAAAGCCTACCACATGCATACATGAGGTAGACTATGAGTGCCGCCATCTTAGTCTGGTTCCCCAGGAAGATACATGTATATGGTCATGATGAAAGGGTCACACACTGTGGCTGCCAGACTAGTTTCAGCTTGGGCTAGTTTGGCTATACGTATTCCACTCCAGACAGTTTTGAAAATGTGTACGGCACCTTTCAGCATCTGTCCAATAGGAAATGCTCCAGTCTGTTTGCACAGATATAAACTTAATTACATAACGGTCTCGGATTTGATCCAATTTCAGACCCATTTTCCCCCCTAATTTTGAACTCGTATGGCATCCGTCTTCAATCCTCAAGGCTGGAAACGAGGGGCCTTGCCTAATCCCGACTTTGTCCCTGTCCTCAGCTTATTTGTATGCCACAGTGTAGCGTGAAATATTTCCTGCAACTTTTGGCTTCATGCCAAGCTAGAAGTTTGAATTGGCATTTTATGCTGCCGCCCTCTCCTAATCCCAAAAGGAGTCAAATCTTTTTTGTACCACTGCCACTGCTGTCCCGTGGTCTATATTTAATTTGAAACCTTTGCATGCATGTTAACCACTTGCTGCAGGGAACCCCATTTCGGGCACATTAATACACGAAACCGGGGAGACTGAAACCGGGCAAAAGAGCCAGGCCTTATAACAAAAGACCGTACTTGGAACAAAAGACCAAGCTGCTGGGAATTGCCAACTTTTTTTAGTTGTCAATAGCAGAGGAAATCCGTTCTGTTTTTGTGAGATGATACCACTGTTTGTGGCATTCAGCACGAGTGGATTACCACAGAGGACAAAAGCACTCCAGTGTGCGCTCCAGCAATCGGAGTGATACAGATACCTCTGCATGCTAATCTGGCCCCCCTTGAAAAGACACCAGAAGTGCGATGTGCCAGTTTTGGGAACAAAAGACAGTTACATAAAAACCACACAATCAGGGCTCTTTTTACAAGGCAGCAGGCCTGGCTAAAATACTCAGGCGTTAATAGATGTTGTCTTTCAAATTAGAGTAATCACCAGACAGTCATTTGTGTGGGTGTAACGTCCAGTAAATGAACCTATGATTTTTTGAAGATTTTTTGAAAATGGAAAATGTTGAAAATCTCACGGGTTTACATCATGCAACTTCAAATTCCACCCGGCAGCAAGTGACTAATTAAATTTTGCAATATCAGTTTCTCTAACAACAATGAAAGAACGCTTTTCCTAAGACTTGGAGGTTCAGTGGGTTGGATGCCAGTACACCTGATATTTCAATTCAATCTGGGATTTTGGGTCATGGTCATTTGAAGTGAACTTTTTGGGATGACCTGTTGGCGGGTAAAGAAAAAAAAACAGGGCATTTTCTATCGGGCACAGAGCAGGCTACTCACCTAGACTGTTTGTGGGGCAAGAGCCCAATGCGCAATTCCTGGTGACATCTGGCTTGGGCTCGGTGCACATGGAATCATCCACGACAGTATCGTTGTCCACACGCCGGCACTCCACAACACGAGTCATGACACCTATGCCACAGGTGACCGGACACTGCAAAATCGATCGGTGGGGATAAAAAATAGCCAGTTGAAAAGAGCAAAAACGGTGATGAGTGATTTAGAATGGATTCATATCCCTTAATTGCCAACCATGCATGAAGAAGTTGCATGTCGTTTAAACAGCAAGTTCCTTTCCATCGACAACAGCCCACTGTCTTTAACAGATCTTCACAGGGCCAAAACACAAAACAAAATCCCTAGATCTTCTTCCCATCAATTATCTATTCTTTGGAAATCTTAAATGGAGTTCTGAAAATTAAGTGTAAAATCTGACAAGAGTAAAGAATTCTAGAATTCCACTACGTGTATGATATCTGTTGCTTAAAGCAAATTTCATTCAGTATTGATGCTTTTATATTACAGGTTTCCGCATGCAACTATTTTCATTTTTTCAGCATTTGTGAACGAAAATATGGACGGCATTAATGAAGGCATTTGAAATGATGAAAAAACATCAAAGTGAGTTCCGGTTGAGTACTTACACTGTCAAAGTTCCCGGTAAAGAAATAGAATTCCGGGCAGGGGTCCGTGTTGCATTCCTCGATACCAGATGGCGGCAGTCCCGGGCAGTCGTTGAACGTCCCCTCGGTCATGTTGGGAAGCAAGCACTGGAGAGCCTCGGCTGTCCTAATACCTGTGCCACAGGTCGCCGAACACTTCACAAGGCCAAAAACACAAAAAAAATCCATGAGATGAGAAGCACCATTGTCTCAAAAGTTCCCTAAAACATGAACCCTCATCTGCTGCTGATACTTTGTCAGTTTACTGCCGACAACTTTTAATACCCCCCCGGGTTTTCAACCTAGATCCAGCAACAAACCGAGACACTATGGTTAAAATGTTTCCTGAAACCATGCACAGGAAAGACTTAACTACTTGCTGCCGGGTTCAATTAAAATGGCCGTGCACAAATACGGGCGTTTTTAAAGATTTTCCATTTTCGAAATTCTTCAAAATGACTAATGACTGTCTGGTGGCTACTCTAATCTGACAGACAACATCTATTGATGCCAGAGTGCTTCAGCCAGGCCTGCCGCCTTGTAAAAAGAGCCCAGATTGTGTGGTGTTATGTAAGTTTCTTTTGTTCCCAAAACTGGCACAGTGCGCTGCTGGCGTTTTTTTAGTACAGGCCAGATTAGCGTGCAGCAGTATTGTATCGCTCGTCACTGGAGCGCTTTGTCCCTAGTGGATCAGGTTAAAAATGTAACCACGCAAAAACGGATAGATTTCCTCACCTCGCTGAAATTGGACAACACGTACATTCCAGTGGGGCACTCTGTTTCAAGAATGTAGGTGAGGGAGTAACCACTTTGCAAGGTGTCCACGCTGTCCGACACAAACCGGGTCCTCACCAGACCAGACTTGGAACGCCAGCTGGTTGTAGGAAGTGTGCTGCCGCACAGTCTAACGTTCAGCTCCGGGAAAGAAGAATCTATGATCTGAAAGATGAAAGAGTTGTACAATGTAAGATTTTTACTTTTCATTTGTTGCCTAGCTTTGTAAAAGGCAGAAACAGTGAAGTTGTTTTGTAACAGGCTTTTTGTGAGAATTTGAATAAAATCTGCTAAACACCGAGTTATCCGATTGCACATAAACATAACAATTTGAATTCTCCATTCTAAACACACAGTTGCTATAGACCTTTTTCACCCACGTTACTAAATGTAAACAATACCATTAAGTGTAGACCACCTTGGACACGGTGACTGCATATATTCCTACGGGCAAACTTCAACCAAGTGCATGCGCACGTGCAAACGCTGCATGCTTGACTAATTTATCACATCACTATGCACTCATTGCCGTCATAGCACATAGGTCCAGCACAATCGTGACACTGGAAAAGGATCCATACCTCTTGATTCAGGGCAAGCTTTTGCATAGCGACCACCATCTCTGGAATGGACTGGTTCCTTTGTGCCCTTCTTATCCACTGAAAACGGTGTGCTGGTGCTTTCAGGCATATCTCTTATGTAACTGAGCAAAAGCTTGCCCCAATTTTCGGGTATACGTGCTCACCTCCAGGTAATCCTTGTCGCAGACATCGTCCGTGGTCCCGCCCTCGATGTCCATGGAAAGGAACGACAGGGTGATGCAACCGCTCAGGTTCACGATATTGTTCAAGCAGTCCGCGTCCGTCACATAGGTGGGGCGGCCGGGTGACGACAGCACAGTGACCGGGGTGTTGGCGGTGATCACGTTGTCACATTCTGCCAAAACAGGGAGACAAAATTCAAGCGAACTTCTGCTGTTTAGAGTGCCGTCACGCTAAACACTCCTTAACAAATTTATGTGCTAAGCAGAAGTTGGGTGGGAACCAGAAGCAATACACATTACGCGATCATTTGGCTGTTGATACATTGTTGCTAAGCCATTGTTTCGGTGCTTAGCAAACTTCTAGGCACCTTTTGCCGAAAACGGGTAGGCGAGAAAATTTGACTGAATTTCATTTTTGAGACTGGCGTCACAAAAAAAAAATTCAATTCATGTTCATCAAACTAGTATATTCTCTCAGGTTGGTACCTTTGGGGCACTCCTCTACATTGCAGGGTACTTCAGTTGGGGGTCTGGGCGCTGGGCAAGCCTCAGGAGGTAACAGCTCAAGGGTGTCTGTCCGTAAGCAGACCACCTCCCTGGTCTGGATGCCTCCACCACAGCTCACGGAACACTGCAAAAAAACACAGAAAATTCAAGTTCAGCACCTGAACTTGGGTTTTTTTGGCCAGGCCATGCCAGGATATCATGCACCGCTTGTCGGCAACAGTAACAACCCTGGAAGTTAGTTCCCTCAAAGGCCTTTGCACTGCTGAAAAGGACGCATCAAATCTGCAGGTATTTTTCAAAAGATTAAAGTTTGTTATGGTGTAAACAGTTTAGCCACGTGTATACAGGCACAGCTGACGGGTTGAAATGTTTGCTTTACCTCATTAGCTACACTTTGCTTTCATTGCTTCAAGCTCACAGTAAAAGCATGCCCTGCTGATAGACTGCGCTGCACTGCCTGTATGCAGTGGTAGCAATATCACTCTGTGGGTGTGCCCCATGTTGTTGAAATTATGTTTGGGTATAAAGAAATCTTACAATTGCTGTTCGCGTAACTTGAAGCAGTATTTGTGGCATTGGCTGTTAGTATATCTTGCGTTTTCAGGGAAGTAGACATTTTCAGCCAACATTGATACCCTGGCCAGGCTGTTAAACACAATCATTGCATATTCAAGTTCTCAATGGTAAAAAGGATCAGACTTAATGTCATTTACTGCCAAACGTTTTGTGCGACACAGCAACACTTTGCGCTTTTCTGGAAAGAGTGACACTGCAGCAGGTATCCCCCCCAAAAAAGGCCTCCCACTCTTACCTGGCCACCTGGTCGGATGTCCCAAATGATGTTGGGGCAGGTCGCCTCCTGGACAAACAGGCTGTACCTGTCGCCAGAGTTCTCGTAATCGGCCGAAAAGAAATCCACCACAAAGCGATTGGTCAGGGCCCGGTAGATGCCGCCCGGCGAGCCACAGACGGTCTGGGTGTAGTTGGGGAATGTGCCATCGCTGAACTGTTGTCAAACCAAAGACATATCAAATGGTGTAACACAGAGCAATGACTATCAAAACAGCATCGGGTCTGGTCGCTTCATCTTCCCTTCCAGCACAGCAGCCAATTAGACAAAACTTTGCTCCACTTAATTGCAAGGAAAAACCAGCTGGTATATACGTAAAGGTGACAACTGCTCACTCTTGTCTCAAAATATCCAGGGTTGGCAACCCAACAACACTGATTGCTTGGTCAACCAACTCGACAACCAGTCTGTGGTGAATCATAGCCTCACAAGTGACTATACACTTGCGTCAGCTTTGGTACGTGGGCCCAACGCACCAAGCCAAAGTGTCAAACAAGAACATTAGGCACTGTGCCAAGGCAAAATGTATAAGTAAGGTCTGACATTGGCCATTTCCCTACCACTGTTGGTATTTTAGCTGACCAAAAGTAGTTGTCAAAAAATGTCCGAGGAAATGTGAAAGGTTTATGTTTCCAAAAACTGAATTGATGGAGTTTTCATCAGACTTTCTCTACTTTAATCAAGTTGGCTTACAGTCAGTGAGCTGTCAACGCAGTTGCCGTTCACATCCGGCTCCGAAAGCGACAGCTCCAGGGCCGAAATGACAACGCAGGAGCTCTCAAATTCCACCGTGATGCGGCAGTTGACGTCAGTGGTCCAGTTACCATCCCGTGGCGGCCCTTGGATCAAGGCTTCCCCGTCAGTGACGGTCATATCGCAAGCTGCGGGCAAAAAATTAGGAGTTGGAACTGTGCTGAGGAACAACAAAAAACTATGGATGTCTCCTAAGGGGCTTGCTTGCTCTGAAACCATGACCAGATCTCATGGGACGCACCTTTGTAAAAGAAGTACGACTGCTGGGGTATGTAGTGTGCAGATGCTCCATACGCAAAGCCGTGCGGTAGCATTAGGTGATTCCAGCATTTTTGGAATCGATTCCAATTCCGTCCAGGAATCGCGATTCCACTTGAAATTGATTCTAATTTTTACATGTGCGAATGCCATGTTGAGTATACCCGAGATTACATGCAAAATGCACTGGTAAGTTGTTTCCTAAAAACTCTTGTGTCATTAAATTATCCCCTTTTATTGCATCAGAAACATGAAAGATTTATTATCATTACAGATTTTTAAATCAGTACTTGATGGAAGTACATCATTTATGGGAAAAGATTATCAATCTACGCAGCCCGCTGGCTTTAAAGTTTTCCAGTTTATATAGAAGTGACCGCAAGTTCTAAAATGCGTATTTGAGAAGAAATATAAAGTATGTACCTTTATTTTCATGCCGCCAAAAACGTACTGAAGAAATATTTTTTCCTTCAAACCCCCCAAAAGTGACCTTATTCTGTCGATGATGAACTATGATAGTTTTCCCTATCTTCTGATCGTAAATTCCATCAAAAACTGGACTGCTCATGCGCCACACAGCACTGCTTGCGTCAGTGGCCTGTTTGTGCAATCGCTGGTGAACATGCCTAAAGATACATTCTTCCTATGTGTGTGCAGACTACCAGCTTCAACACAAGGCCTTCAGTCTTGTTCCAAGGCAGAGATGGGAAATTTTGAAAATTGCTCATTATTTTGACCTTCAATTCACTCAATAGGTTGAGTAGAATTTCTTTTCTTTATGGCAGAAATGAAGGACGAAAGTAGTCAAAGTTTTGTGTTTGGTCAGAGTGAATGACAGTATCACTGATTTTATGTCCAGGTTTGTGGGATTCAGGGAATTTTTAAATGCTTCAACAGTTACTTGCATTTGGAGTATTTCATGGTAAAGGAAGAATTAATACAGGGCAAAGGGCTGCATTGTTCAGGTTTTTTCTTTCAGTTCTGAGCAAATTTTTGGAATATGTGACGAAGAACATGTAGGCCTACTTTTCCCATCAGTTTGCTTCAAACTTGAAGATTAAAACATGGTGTTGGTCCAGCGGCAGATTTTTTTTCATCACAATGTAACACCCAAATGCTCGGCATATTAAGAAGTCACAATTGGCATGCAGCCAACAGTTTGCCATTGGCATGCTGCAGACAAATGGGTGGGAGTACTGTACGGTGCCGCTGCAATTCTGCAAATCATGTGGGCCACATCTCATCACAGACTTCAGTTTGGGGCAACGAAAATAAAGCCGCGCAGATAAGGTTCCTTGATTTGGCATAAAACCACACATTTTTTCAAAAATCTACAGATCATTTTATATAGCAGTCTTTTGGAATCGCTGGACTGTTCCAGGAATCAGATCTCAAGGTGATGGAATTGGCGGTGGCGTGGAATCACATGGAATTCCAAATTTGGAATTGATTCTCCCCGATTCCAGCATGGATTTTCCCAAGCCTGCCGTGTGGCTCCAAATATCATCAAAATACAGTGAAACTGACACATATCAACAATGATAGCTCTACATAGCCTTCAGTCATACATGTGTGACAATATAGCTGCAGGCATTGTATTCACAGATTTCATAACAACCCTTCAATTATATCAAAGATCTTGCAGCAAAATGTGCCAAGTGTTACCTTTCGCACCTGAATTTTTATTAGTTGGGTAATTAAGAGACTTTAAAAATGAATGTGACTGGTCGGTAAAATTGGCCATTTCGGATCTGTTCTGCGCAACCAATGCCACCAAAAAAATGAAAGCTGAATTTGGTTCAAAATTTGTTGCGGAAGCGCCAGACCCGAACAGCAGTTGTTACTGCCGAACTTTGACGAAATGTACTCTGCCGTGTTGCACAACTCGTGCAGTAAAATGGAGCACGAGAGGAGCTGAGCAACTGAGTCAGCTCTGGGCAAAATCAAGTGAAGAAATGCTACATTTCTCCCAGCCCCGATTGGCAGGGTCAGAACACAGCTGGGTTCCTTTCTACTCACAGGGGCAGGGTGGCTGGGGCCCGCAGGGCTCGGTTGTGGAAGGTTCGGGATCTGTGCAGAATGTGGGGATGACCGCTATACCGTCCACTAGGCGCCTGCACTGGACGGTACGAGTTCGAGTGCCACCATCCCCACATGTTACGCTACACTGCAAAGGTAAAAAAAGATCCACAAAAACAAGTTTAGAAGAAATCACTCTCGCGTTTAACGGTATAACTGTCCAGATTATAATGAAGACAATGCATGTTTCACCTTGATATTTTCTGAATATGTCGGGTTTCACTTTCTGTCTGCAGTTTTTTTCTCAGGGGACACCAAATCCCAATTGCGAGCCATGGGCACACAGGTTATGTACTTTTTATAAGGGGTGGGGAAAACCCTGGGAGTGAGGAAGTTCCACCAATGGGCCCAGAATGTTTACCCACTGTGTAGACTACAACTTCACAAGTTCCTCTTTCAAAAAAATTTCATTTCTTTCCAGCATGTGTTCGTGTGTTCAAATTCTATTTTCTGGTTTTACCATTATTCCAAAAAGTGAAAATGCAGAAAATTGAACTGATTGTTTTCAGATAAAAGCAAGTCTAACTTTAAAAGCAATGGACTTATATGCCTAAAATGGGCATTTCTCACCTGATGTTTGGAAAATTTTGGGACAAAGGACACTACCATGAAGCAAGAGCCCGATTAAGTAATGTCATTATAGACCAAAGTCAATGAGCCTTTTGAGAGTTAAATTTGAATCAAATCTGGTACCCTGAGCTTTCTAATTACACATAAACATAATTCGAATTCCCCAGTCTAAAGACACTGTTGCAACATCTCGTGATTTAGGGCAAACTTTTACTTTTCGACTACCATCTCTGGAATGGACTGGTTCCTTTGTGCCCTGCTTATCCATTAAAAACTTTATTGACGGAAGACTCTCTTACGGAAGTAAACAAAAGCTTGCCCGAAATCATGAGGTATAGCAAAAGTGTCTTTAGTATGTAGAATTCAAATTGCCAGATTCAAACGAATTCAAAGAACTCAGCGCACCAGATTTTATTCAAATTGAACTCACAAAAGGCCGATTGCTTGCATTTTCTGAGCAAATACTGGCTACAAAATCTTTGCACGATGGTCTGGTGACCAACAGGCCACAAAGATAAAAAATCTGTGTGTGCATTTATCCCCTTACCTCGCCAAATTCACCAGTGACAAAGGCAAACTCCGGGCAATCCAACTGTGACAAGAATATCCTGAAACTGTTATCAGTCGTCAGGCTACTTCCGCTATTCAGTGTCAAAACCACCTGTATGACACAAATAGAGGGAGCGTTAATTACTCATCTGACCTCATTGATGAGACATAAACGAGTCCTTGCACCCAGCAAGGAGAAACTAAAACGGATGTGAACAGACAGGGGATAAAAGAAAATTACAGATAAAATGTAACCCCACTACACAGGAGAAATGACGTAGCATTTGAGGCTTCAGGGCTGTTGTGGTAAAATGTTACTGAATAAACACACACAGCTCCCAGAGTATCTGAAAACCTAATTCCACGACTTTTCCAGGACTTCCCAGGACTGAAGTATGACAAGTTCTATGCCATTTAATGCAAGGTTATTTTGGGATGAACCGAAAACTGCCATGGCCATTATTACTGACTGACAAGGGAGAGCCTGCGAATTTCTCGTTCTGCTATCACATCACAAGAGGCCCATCAGAAATATCCCTTGTATGATCTTGATTCCACAACTTTTTAGGATGCCCACTTTCTTCCCTATTTTCCATGACTTTTTCAAGATTTTCCAGAATGTTTTTCTGGGATTTTCCTAAATTTTCCATGACTGTAGGAACCCCACATCACAAAAATGGAGGCAGACCAAGTGTTGAACATGGCTGCCGCAAATGCCCTGTTGTGGACACAAATATCGCTCCATTGATGTACCCTGGCGTACTGAAATATGAAGTTGCAGTGGTAAACATTGTACCGTTCAAGTGACCCTTGCCAAATGGCGTTTGTGGTGTTCAGCTGCGTAGCAAAAGTTGGCATGAGGTAAAAAGGACACCAGAAACTTACGTCCTCTGTTCGCGACTCCCAGGCGTACAGTGTCTGGCCCGATGTGGCCCCAGGCCCGTCCCCGCAGAACCTCTCCGTCAAGTAATTGGCTCCTTCGTCCCGCAGCTTGAAAATGGATGGAATAAAAAGGATTTTTTGGGGGGGACACCAGAAATCCACAATAAACACGCAATCACTGCTGCAGCTGATTGGGACAGCTATATGCATATTTCAAGATGCAACTAGCGACTGCATGCCATCTATACCAAACACTTTGGTCCGCTCACTGGGAAAGCTGAACCGTGCATGAACCCTATTTACAATGCCCTCAGAGAATAAATTCCTATCTGCACGCCAATCATCAGCATGCTCGAACTAAAAGGGTCAAAATGCAGGAGGATCTGAACCCTGGACTGCTGGAAAGTTAAGTTGGCAGAGGCTTGATTTCAGAGAGTGAAGTTCTGAAAACTTCTAGAACCAATTGCCCAACAATTTTCTTTTTCAGGTTTCCAACATCAAACCATCCCCATCCTGTGTCATTCCCTGTCCCAGCCACGCTATAATACAATCAATTCAAGGAATGCATATGGTGTAAACTTTTCCTTAGTTGGACTTAATCTGGCCAACTTTTCCCAATCTCAAATGTGACCCCTCCTGTAAAAATGAGTGGCTGGTCACCTGACCCACTTTAAGGTAGAATGCCTTTCAAAGAAATTAATGTCCGCACCTTTCACCAATTTTTCACCCAATGGCATCCATTTTTACCCAGAATGCCAAACTGAAGGATATCTCAAACCAAAAAGCAATACTTCAAATGCAAATTGAAACAAATTACTGATAAAAAAAACGGACTCATCTAAGCATGACAAATTACCTCGACAAATGTGTCGCCGCACATGCCATTCTCCCCGGGGAAGTCAAACTGCAGGAAGGTGGCACGGATGCAGCGCTCGCTATCCAAGGTGTACCTGCATGTACGTTGAAGGTCCAGATCCATCGGGCTGTCCAGGGCCTGCGGGAAAGAGTCGATGGTCCTGTCGCAGGCTGCCGAAACAGGGTCAAAGGTCAAAACGGGTTTGCTTTTTAAGCCAGGACAGAAATACTACTTTAAACCCTGGACTAAGGCAGCATGGTTCTCTGCTTTTCTGTCAGATAGCATGCCTAACGACAAATGACTGGAACCAGTCCAGAGTTATCAGTTATCTCTTTGCAGTAGCTATTTCCATCAGTAGGCACAGCATGCCAACCAATCAGGATTCAAGAATAATCTTACATATTCATTGCAAGCCAGGGCGCTTAAACAAAGAGACTGGATCCAAACAAACTCATTTATGGAGAACAAATTTCTCCCCATCTAGTTTTATCATGAATGCTTAGCGAGTTAGCGATATTGTTTTGATTTCTCAAATTGTCTTCTCTTCTAAAAAGGATTCTGAAAAGATCACAATGCAAGCCAACAGAAATGTCAATTGTGCCTTTGGCAGTGGAGGGGGGGTATTTGAGATTTAGGAACACAGACAAACACAAGAAACATTGAGCAGAAAGGTTGTGACAACGACCACAATAAGATGTGAAATTTTCAGGGGTTTTAAAACCTAACCAGACACAATCAAGTCCCGTCCCAATACCTATGGATTAACCACTTCGTGCCGGGGCATTTTCCAATGTTGATGATGCTGGGCCGGCATGACTATCATTTTTTCCGTTTTCAAAATGCTTCAAAAATTCATCATTTCATTTAATGGTCGTTTATAGCCGCACGAAGTAATCTTCAGGCACTG